TGAGGCAAGAATTTCTGGACACCAAGAGTTTCACAGAAGAAAACAAGATGATTATGCTATATCTTTATTCTATGCAAAACATTACAGTCTTCATAGTACAAAGCACTAAGGTGGTCTGATCTGGGTTCTGTAGGTCCTACACCTATGATACGTCTTTTCCTTCCTTCTTCTTTAATCTCTCTCAGGGGCGATACCTTTGGTGGTGTAACCTCCAGTCATAACCCAGCACCTCTTTCAGTAGCCTGCCTTCCTACGAAGGCTCTTTCTGTTCTTTCATTAGCAACATTAAACAGCCAGCTGGTAGACTTTAAGAATATCATTTTTCACAGAAACTTTGCAAGGATGCATGTTCCATTTTTGCAATAATATAAAATATACCTTGTGCCCCACAAATACTACTGGCATTTTTATTGATATTGTGAACTTTATAATTTAGGGAGAATTGCCATAGTTTATGTTGGGTTATGCAATATCGGTTCCTTGATATCTGGGATTTTCTCTGTTTGGTTGAGTTCTGTATCTCCAAAGCCTAGAACAGTGCCTGGTACATAGTAAGTGCTCAGTTTTTACTGAGTGAATGAATGAATGAATGGGATGCCTTTTCTTTTGTTCTGGTCTTATATTCCCTAAGAAGTGTTTTAAAGTTTTCTTCACAGAGATCATGTATATTTTTCATTAATTTTTTTTTCTTAGGGATTTTGGTTTTTTGGCTATTGTAAATGCAGTTTTTTCTTTTACAAGAACATTAACTAGTTGATGTTTGTTTATAAAAGGCTATGGTTTTCTGCATGTTAATTTTTATCCACCTATGAATTGAATTTTTAACCACCTATGTTATTGAATTTTCTTATTCATTTGCAAGAATTTTTCATACTTGTCTTGTTTTTGCCAGGTATCAGTGTTACTGCTCTTAAAACTTTCCAGAGTTTAAAGAGGATTGAATTACAAGCCCAAAGAAAAACAACAAACAACTAAATTTCATTCTAGCAGTGAGATTCTTATTGGTTGAGTGTGTACTGGTACAGATGTAAACCTGCAATTTATTTTCTAAGATAATTAAACATGGTGATTAAGGAAAACGTCAAATCCACAACCGGCTCATTCCTTGCCAGTTGGGCATCATCTGTTCCCTGAGCTGCTTGCTAATATGCAGAGACTGCCGTCTTTACTACAGAGTCCTCTTAATTTGGGGAGGGATATTTGCAATTTAAATCACAAAGAAAGAAATTGTCAGTATATACTGAGGTGTTTCACTGCGAGCTTTGTTCAGTAAACCTTACTATACAAGGGAACTCATGCAGATGAATGCATCTGTCTTCATTTCTCCTCACCATTAGATCATTATGCAAACATTAAACACCAAAAAAGACATAAAATGATTGATTAGTGTAGTGGAGCGCGCAGGTTAGCAGAAAGCCAACTCAAGAAGCCTGTTCCTCCCTCCCCACACTGCTGCTTTCCTCCTCTCCCTTTTCGGAAACACCCATAAATGATTTAGTCAGTCCTGCAGGGTCTGGAGATGTTTATTGGCAGTCAGCATTCCTGTGATTCAGCACATTTTCTTGTGACAATATTCTATCCTTACTCCTGAGTTTTGCCTAATTTAGATTCCCCCTTTGGTCTGTCCTACTCTGCTAATCCTGATCAATAAATACAGGCAGATTAGACAGAAGACAAAATTGTGAAATTGATGTTTTATTTGGAACAGCAAGTCTTCATTTCACACTGTGGCCAGGACCATCTCCTCTGCTGCCCACCTCTCCCACAACCTACGCTATGGCATGGTGCTCTCTGACTCATTTGCCTCTGTTGGCTACGCTTTAAGCATCTCTGACTTTTTCCATCTTTGAGTTTCATTGTCTGGTTCACAGTAAGCACTCAGTAAGTGCTAGAATCAGTGAATACACAAATTACTCAGTTAAGTGATACAGTACATTAATGTTTTCTTTCGTGTTATTAGAACTAACTATTGGGGAAAGGTATGAAATCTTTTTAAACAAGAGGATAATTGACTATTACTAGTTTTAAAAGTAACCCACATGGATTTGTATTTTTAACAGAGACCAAATTAAATTCATTGAATTTAGCTTTTCTAGATTCTCAGATTCAGCCAGAGGTCTGGGAAGGACCAAGATTCCTTCTGGAGAAAATTGCATTGTCCACATCTTATAAGGCTGCATCTATGGGGCTTCCCTGGTAGTTCAGTTGGTAAAGAATCTGCCTGCAATGCAAGAGACCCCGGTTCAATTCCTGGGTTGGGAAGATCCCCTGGAGAAGGTCTGTGGAGTTGCAAAGAGTGGGACACGACTGAGCGACTTTCACTTTCTTTTCATGTCCTATATCCCATGTTATTCAGAAAGTACAGTCTTGAAAACCTGAGTAGGAATGAAGTTCTTATTAATTGAAACTTAATTCTCACTTGCTTGTTACTGTTTTAAGAGTTGCTTTTTTATGTATTTCTAGTTGACCTTTAAGACATACCCTTAAAAACCAACGCTCCCAACTCCTCAAGTACAGCTCTGTAATGAACTGCTTAACCAAAGGGAATCAATCTACATAAAGAAAATGCAAACAATTCTTTCGTTGGGCAGAGTTGTTGAACACATTATGTTTCTGTAATGTGAATCGCCGTCATCTAGTATGTAATTTTCATTCCTTTATTATTAACCTTATTTTTCCCTAGCCTTTTGCCAAGAAGGACTTATAAGGGGTTGCTTGTTAAGTTGACCTCTTCAGCTGTCAGTTGTGCCTGTGTATTTCTTTATGGGGTGTAGAGAGGGTTGCTTTGTTCTGTGTTGAGGGGGCATGTGAATTGCACACTGTCATGGCCTTTTGTTACAAATGCACCTGGTCAATGATGTAAAAAGCCCTGTGCTTTTATATACTTGACAAGAATTTTACTTCTTGTTCAGTCACTAAGTCATGTCCAACTCTTTGCCATCCTATGAACTGCAGCACGCCCAACTTCCCTCTCCTTTACCATCTCCCAGAGTTTGCTCAAACTCATGTCCATTGCATTGGTGATGCATTCCAACCATTGCATCGTCTGTCACCCCCTTCTCCTCTTGCCCTGCTCAGCATCAGGGTCTTTTCCAATGAGTCTGCTCTTTGCATCAGGTGGTCAAAGTATTGGAGTTTCAGCTTCAGCATCAGTCCTTCCAGTGAATATTCAGCGTTGATTTCCTTTAGGATTGACTGGTTTGATCTCCTGCTGTCCAAGAAACTCTCAAGAATCTTCTCCAGCACCACAATTCAAAAGTATCAATTCTTTAGCACTCAGAGAATTTTACTTCTTGAATTTCAACCATTATTTGATCTCTCATTCAAAATGTAGTAAATGAAGCTCACGTCACTCACACTCACAGGCTCTTCCTTGGGTTCTGTTTTAAATCAACAACAACTCAGGTATGCAGTGTCCTGACACTGCCATGAAAAGAGAAATATGCAAGGCTGTCAAGGTCACAGGACCTGGCAATCCCAAGCCTGGACTGAAACTAATACATCGAAATCAGTGGCCTGTTCCTGCCTTCTTTCCCCAGGTACTCTATTCTCACTAGACAAAATGAGAAATTCTTTCTTTCCCTAACACGATTTGACTTTTTTATTTTATTGGCTAATTGGATGGTAGACCAGCAGCAGTAATTCAAAAACCTTTATGATATGCATTCATAAAATTTTGAAATGATAATTAACACTGCCATATGTGATTAAGAAAAGGGCAGAGGTGTGCAAATAATCTTTTCGCTTTTTTGACTTTGAAAAGGGAAGTCTATTCTTGCATTTTAACATGAGAATCTCTGATGTCCTAGGAGTTCACAACCCCTGAAATTCATAACCTGATTCAGGAAGAGTTGGAAAACTGCTGAGTTTCCCCATTCCTCCCCAGAGAGTGGATGCAGAGTTGGGGATAACAAACAGAATTTTCGAACAGTCCTTGTCATAGTTAACCTCTGGATGGGTAAATGTTGAGGCATTTCTATTTCTGAAAGCAAGGATAGTCAAGTTTTCTTTCTGTGGTGCCTTAAATCAGAAGATTTGGGTTCTCTCTTGGTGTTTGGGGCTTCCCTGGTAGCACAGTGGTAAAGAATCCACCTGCCCGTGCAGGAGATGCAAGAGACGCAGGTTCAATCCCTGGGTCAGGAAGATCCCCTGGAGTAGGAAATTGCAACCCGCTCCCGTATTCTTAACCTAGGAAATCCCATGGACGTAGGAGCCTGGTGGGGCGGCAGTCCCGAGAGTCACAAAGAGTCGGACCGACTGAGCATGCACGCATACTTGGTGTGTAGATATGACCCCCACAAGGTTGGTAAGATTGAAAAATTTCAGAAGGAGAGAATGAGAATTAACGGAATTCCCTGGGGATTCTGAGGCCCAACCCTGCCTTAATATAGTGTGACACATTTTGGAAGAAATTATGTAAGTTGTAACATGACACTATTTTACTTTGTTTTCTGAAAGACCAAAATAAAAACTAGAGTCAATAATATTTCTCTTGAACGTGTAGAAAGCTCTTCTCTTGTGTCATTCATCTTCCTCAGCTAAAAGGTATCGCAAACTTGGAGTCTGCCTCTGCACCGTCTGCCCCTGCATTATTATTTGAAATTTCATTTCAGCCCCTTTACCTTATGATTCTCAATTGCTCCCTTTGGAGTTACAAGGAGAAACATGAGAGAAAGTCACTTCAGAATGACAGAAAACAGGAAACAAAGGGCGAATATTATCCTTGTACATAAGCCATGTCAGACTATTTATTGTGAATCTAGAATGAAGTACCCCACTGGTACCCATTTTAATAACCTTTAGTGGAATAGCTGCTCCGCTTTATCTGCACGCTCATCTTTATGAGACACTCTGCAAATTGCAATGGAAAAGAAGTCGCAGAACTTTTCCCACCAGAAAAATACAGAACGTTTATGGGGAGGAATCACCTCACCACCCACAAAGACAACCCCTTATGCTTCTGCTATCATTTACTAAAGCAGATTCTTTTCTTTTAACAGAGGAATTCAAGGGCTCCACTGTGGTTGAACTGATGAAGAAGGAAGGCACTACCCTTGGGCTGACGGTCTCGGGCGGAATTGACAAGGATGGCAAACCCAGAGTGTCTAATCTGCGGCAAGGAGGAATCGCTGCTAGGTAACTGCATCGCAGGGAAATGTAGAAAAAGGAATGAAGGTGTAATTAATTCAGAACTTAAAGCTCCATCAGAAAAGGTCACTAATAGATAAATGACACTGCCATCTGCCAGGTGGAAGCGTGGGGGGTGGGGAGGAGGCAGATTTCAGAAGGATGGCTTTTCTGGCCCATGCCGAAGTCACCAGGGAGCTCTTATGTCATCTCAAGAGCAGTCAAGTCCTCCTAAGATTTTAATTTTAAAATGCTGTGTCTGGACTTCTCTGGCAGCACAGTGGTGAAGACTGCACCTTCCGATGCAAAGGGTGCAGGTTTGATCTCTGCTCGAGGAGCTAAGATCCCACATGCCTTGTGGCCAGAAAACCAAAGCATAAAACAAAAGCAACATTGCAATAAATTCAATAAAGATTTTTTAAATGGGCCACATCCAAAAAAAAAAAATCTTTAAAAAAACAGCCACCTGTATGGATTTAGTCCTCAAATGTGCCCCTAATGGGCTGCAGTGGGAGTGAGACAGCCCCATCATCTAACGGGGAATAGATGACCCATATTCTGTGGACAGGGGAAGCTGCCACATGACGAGCCCAGGCAGTGAGAGGCCCAGCTCCAAGTATCTCAGTAGCAATTTTACTTGTCCTACATATTCTCAGCTTTTCTACTTGTGAGATTTTCCTTTCATCAGGACAAAGAGATGGTTTCCAAAAGGACAGAAGGCTTAGCTAAGAAGGGCTGGTTTTGTCCTTGTTCTTACTGGACTGCAGATTGTATTAGTTCTTGCTGATGACAGAGTATCCTGGGTGCTGGACAGGGGTGGGTTTGCTTTGTAGACAAATTCGAAATCTACCGCAGAAAGAAAGGGTGGAATGCTGAGGTTTCATTCAAAGTGAGGTTAAAGTCCCTTAAATCCTGGACACCAGTATTCGTGTCCACAGAGCCCCAAATTAGGTTTTAGAGTTCTTACCTTAGTAAGTATCACCTGAAATAGTGGCTATTTTCAATGATCAACCTATTTGTACAATTTATAAGCTCAAGCCAATTGATTGCTCCATGATCTGAAGTACTGTATGTAAAACCAGGCTGATGTCAACACAAGCAACTTAGTCTCCTTCCTTCAGGATTTGTGGGGTTTTTTGTTTGTTTTGTTTTGCATTTTAAAAAAAATTGAGGTATAGTTAATTTAAAATGTGTAAATTTCTGCTGTACATCAAAATGATTCAGTTATGCATATTAATATATATACAGGGCTTCCCAGGTGGCACAGTGGTAAAGAAATCTGCCTGCCAGTGCAGGAGTCACAAGAGATATGAGTTCAATCCCTGAGTCGGGAAGATCCCCTAGAGGAGGAAATGGCAACCTGCTCCAGTATTCTTACCTGGAAATTTTCACGGACAGAGGAACCTGGTGGGCTACAGTCCATGGGGTCACAAAGAGTCAGATGTGACTGACCACACAGACGCATACATGCACATATATATGTATTATCTTCATGTTCTTTTCCAATATGGTTTTTAAGAGATTTCTTTCCACCATAGCCTCCTTTAATTTTTAACAGTCATAGCCAAGTCGTGATGCTGGCACTTCATGTGTCTCCAAGGTTTCTTCATATGTAGCCCCTAAAGCAAGCATGACTGGCATGGGAGAGGGTGAGAATGTCGTTCACACATGTATTGATCCTATAATTAAAAGTAACACTCTGCCAGTTATAATGAGTATTATTGATCACCAAATATTTATTGTTTAAGCCACTACCATTTCACAGATAATAAACCAAAATAAGTCAAGATAAGATACCTGCCCTTCGGGGGTTTATAATCTATTAAGGGAAATAGGGTATAAAAAAAACATGAGAAGTTTGGGAGCAATAATCGCATTGTGTCATAGTAAAAAGCAACAACATAAGAGTTTTCACAATGCATGAGCCAATTAAGTTGCCAAATAAGTGTCAGTCAGTAAACCTGTGTTCAGAGTGACCACGTGTACTGTAGACTGGAGAGTATTATGGGGGTTCCGAAGAGAGAATGATTGGAGCTGGGCTAATGTAAAACAAATGATTTCATTATTTTTATTTGGGGGAAACATATTATTGAATTAAGTCCTGTCATTGATCTTGCTGCCTGCTCTTGGTTTAGAAATAGAGTTTGACTAAACGCCCCAAAGTAGCCACAGTTCTATTATGATGGTGAGGAGAGAGGAGTATGTTACATAATGTGCTTTCATTATAATTTCTTCTTCACTGATACTTCTTAAAATCAGTCCTGCTATAAGCAATAAATAGCAAAATAAAATGACCTTCTATTTGGCCCTGGACATACTTCTAGTGAAGATACCGAAAGTAGTGAAATGTCCAGAAGGCAAGCAGCAACATTGAAAGGGAATGAGAAGAAAGGAAAACTTCTAGTGTGCCCAGGATACAGATAATCTGCCCCCGGAGAACCAACTCTTTAGGGGCAGAGCAACTAAAGATAATTTTCTCTTTATTTCACTTTCTGATGCTCTTTAAAAATAAAAGAGGAAAAGGCTTAGGAAAAAAATCAGGGATAGCAGCAGATGCCGCAGAGGACTTGGAAATTATACAGTCAGCGTGAGTAAGAGGGATCCCTGAGCATCTCAGCCACCCTCAGCTGCATCCTGCCCTTAGGAACCAACCGCATCCTAGGAGGCAGGGACCCTGCTGTGTCGGCCTTCTGGGCTTGCGTGCTTATCCATGATAGCAAAGTGGGAAATACGATCAGACTGGCCCAGGGGGAGGAGAGCGCCACTGAAGTGACTCTGTTTTGCAGAAGTGATCAGCTGGATGTGGGTGACTACATCAAAGCAGTGAATGGCATCAACCTGGCCAAGTTCCGCCACGATGAGATCATCAGCTTGCTGAAGAATGTTGGGGAAAGAGTGGTTCTGGAGGTGGAGTATGAGCTGCCGCCAGTCTGTAAGTCATCACGGCCAGAGGCAGAACAGCTGCTCCATGCTTTCGCCTCAAACTCTCGGTTCTCTTTTTTTTTTTCTCTCTTTTGCCATCATTGTCTTGTTATAGGAATGGCAGAGCATACTTTCTTGATATTTAAAAAATTATCAGAATTACTATCACCTACTCTGGAAGAATGTAAAAGAGCATAAATGATGAAATTATCTAGGACTCGGGTTTCATTAAAGCCATCTGTGAACATCAGAGCTGAACTTTAGTGTCAAATAGACAGCCAGTTCCTAGCTCCAGTTTTTACGAGCTGCATGCCTTTGAGAACGTTACTTAAGCTTCTTTTGTTTCACTTTTTTGCACATCTGAAAAATGGGGATGATATTAGTAACCTGTGATATTACTCATGGATCTGTTATGAGGATTAAATGAGTTAGCACTTGTAAAGCATTCAGGACAGTACCTGGCAAAATAAAAATGTTTGATAAATAATACATATACAAATCAAAACTATAAAGTAGGCATTATTATCATTATTATTCTCATTTTACAGATGCTTAAGTTAAATATGTTTTCCCAAATTAGTAGGCACTGAAGTCAGAGCTTTGCTCTTCTGTACTACTGAGAACTGAGATTGATTATTAATAACCGGTGATAATTCATTTGTTTAGTGATGGCTTATTGAGCATTACCGTGTTCCAGCCTGTCCCCCAATGAATGTCAGTAGAATTTACACTCTAGGAGGGACTTCCCTGGTGCTGCAGATGGTAAAGAATCTGCCTCAGTGCAGGAGACCCAGGTTCCATCCCTGGGTTGGGAAGATCCTCTGGAGGAGGAAATGGCAGCCAACTCCAGTATTCTTGCCTGGAGAATTCCATGGACAGAGGAGTCTGGCAAGCCCCAGTCCATGGGATCGCACAGAGTCAAACACGACTGAAGAGACTAACACTACTACTACTGCTAGAGGAAGACAGAAAATAAAATGAAACCACAATAAATAAGTTAATTACAATTGATCCCTGAACAATGAGGGGGTTAGAAGTCCCAGTCCTCCTTGCCATTGAAAATCAATGCACAGCTTATATTTGACCCTCCATATATATGATTCCTCCGAAACCAAGGTTCTTCCATATCCTAGATTCAACCAACCTGGTATAGTGCACTACTATAGGATTTACTATTGAAGAAATCCACAGGTACATGGACCCACACGGTTCAAACCATGTTGTTCAAGGATCACCTGTATGTAGCATGAATGTTATAGGTCATGAATGCTGTGGGGACAAAAAATAAAGCAAGGAGAAGGGTTGGGACTGTGGGCTGGGAGTGGGATTGTAATTTTAAGTAGAGTGCTTAGGAACAGTTTCACTGAGAAAGTGACATTAATCAGTGACTTGAAGGAGGTGAGGAAATTAGCTATATGGTTTTCTGAGTTAACAGAGTTCCAGAAAGAAGAAAATGCCAGTGCTCAAATCAGAAGGCAGGAGTAATCTGGCATAGTTCTGGAAACATAAAGAAGGACAGTGTGGCTGGAACAGAGTAAGCATGAAGAGAAGTGGGGGAGGTGGGAAGACGCGTATAGGATAGACCATCCATGTGGGCCAGTGGAGGGACCTTCAGTGTTGCTCTGAATGATGCAGGAAAGCATTGTATGGTTTGGGCAGAGGAGTGACATGATCTGATTAACGTTTTCAAAGGCTCCTCTGGCTGCTGTGTTGAGATGGCAGAGTCAAAGTAGAAGCTTGGGATACCATTTGGAGGACTACTGCAGTGATCCAGGTGAAGGATGGTGGAAGATATGGTGAAAAGCACTCATATTCCCCATCTATTTTGAAGACAGAATCAACAGGATTTCCTGATGAATTTAATGTGGATTATGCAGAAAGAGGGGGCTTCTCTGGTAGCTCAGCTGGTAAAGAATATGCCTGCAATGCAGGAGACCCTGGCTCAACCCCTGGGCTGGGAAGATCCCCTTTTTTCTTGCCTGGTGAATCTCCATGGACAGAGAAGCCTGGTGGGCTACAGTCCATGAGGTCACAAAGAGTCAGACACGACTGAGCACCTGCAGAAAGAGAAAAGTCAAGGACCATCAGAAGGTTTTAAGCCTGAACAACCGGAAGGATGGAGGTGCCGTTAACAGGGCGTAAGAATGTGGGCAGAGCTGCCTTGTGAGGAGAGGATCAGAAGTTCATCGCTGGGAGGGAACTGCCTTGTGGTCCAGTGATTAGGCATCTGTGCTTCCAGCGCAGGGTGCCCAGGTTCCATACCTGACTGGGGAAGCTCAGATGGCACAAGTTGTGTGGTATGGCCAAACTAAATAAATAAAATTTTTTAAAAATTTTTAAAGAAGTCCATTGTTTAAAATACTACATCTTAAAAAAAAAATAAAATAAAATACTACATCTGAGGTGCCTATGTGATATACTAAGAGAAAATGTCATAAAATGCTGGAGATACAGTTTGGCACCTGTAAGAAAGATCTAGAGTAGAAATGTAAATTTAAGAGTAACGGGACTGGAGATGATGTTTGAGGCTTTGGGATTAGGAGATAGCAGTCAGAGAGTGAATGGATAATGCATACCAATCACGAGTTCTCATTCTTAACATAAAATCTAACACTGAAAATCTCATGGTGGTTTTATAACAAAATCATTTGGAATCTGAGTACTAAAACTTTGCTATAGCGTTTTTCATTTCAGTAAGAGCCAGCAGTGAAATAGAGTGTTGAGAGCTTGAACTATGTCACTAGTTAAGTGTCAGTTTTGTCCCTTTCTAGAAAGCTTTGTGACTTTGGGGAAATTATTAATAATTTTGCTGAGCTATAGGTTTCTCAGCTATAAAATGACTGTAATGGATGTAGAATTTTTGTAAGATTTCAAGGCTGTAATCATGTATTTAGATCACAAGCACAGACTTCATAAGCCATAGTGTATCTTAGCCATATTACCATTATTATTGTTGTTATTATTACACTGAAAGTACTGTGTTTTCTTGAACTTAAAGTCCATTTGTTTTGAAATCACTATCTTAATCCACTGCCTAGGAGTTAAGAGGAGTCAAATATCTAGAGTTAATGCTCTTTGATTAAGCATTTTTATTCCAGTGTGTACATGCATATCAATAAACCACAACCTGTTCCTAAGAGGAGCTCTTAGTATTGCTCTCAAGGTAAGGCAGTTGTGGAGATTTGCTGAGCATTTGGGGTTGTCCAGAGCTAGGGATTTCACAGTAGACTAGAAGGCATTTATGCAGGTCCAGTAGGAAAACTAACATTCCAGACATAGGGTAGGGCAAGGAAGTATGAAGATAGCCCAGTTCACAGGCTGAATCTCCAGTTTGGAATTACTGGAACACAAAAGGAAGAGAGGGCCTCAGAGGGATGAGGTCAGTGGGGTAAACAGGAACAAAGCCGTGAATGGTGGGCAACAAGGAGTCTTTTTTTAAAGGTTTTTAAGGCCAAGGAACAGCATCCTCAGATCAGAGTTTTGGTTTTGGTTTTGGTTTATTCTTACGTTTTGGCTATTTCACACAGCACGTGGGATCTTGGTTTCCCAACCAGGTATCAAGCCCATGCCCCCAGCAGTGGAAGCATGGAGTCTTAACCACTGGACCACCAGGGAACCGCCCCCCTCCCCCAGATCAGAGTTTTGACTTATTTAAAGAGGTCAAATGGAAGCTATAAGCCCCCAGGCTGTTACAGTTTTCCAAAAGAGAGGTAATACTCTGAATAGATATAGCATTAATAGAGTTAAAGAGGAGAGAGTGGACATCAGAAATATCCAGGGGTTAAAACCTCTCCTGACTTTGTGATTATACCTGCCTTTTCTCCCTCATACAATAAAGCCGATGGGAAAAGAGAAAATATTTTTAAACACAAAAGTGTGAAGTTTGTAGTAGAAATCAGATAGCAGAGGTCTATTCGCCTAGGATTATCTCTGTCTCTTTCTATTATGTTTAGATAAATTAATAAGATCTGTGCGTTCAGGGAGATCGAAGGGATTAATAAGCCTCCCTTTCACTGAGCTCAGACACAAGCCAGGCCCCAGGGAGAGAGCTGCCTGCTGAAAGATAGGCCACCCAAGGCCAAGACTGTAACTCTTTCAGGAATCACAGCAATCTGAGGCTTAGCCAACCCCATAGCCCAGCAGGAATTGGAGGAAGGTCTGTATGAGGGTGTGTGTGTCTGTGTGTGTGAGTGAGAGAGAGGGAGAAAGAGAGAAAGTGATACAGAGAGATGGAGAGCAGACAGAAGAAAAACGGAACTGTGACCCTGGGTAAGCACCTCCCCTTTTCTGATACCAAGTTTCTTAATGACAATGAAATAGTCGATCTCCATGAGCTTAGAGTCCTTTTCGACTCTAGAATTACGTGGTATTTCGAGACTGTGTTTAGAGAGAATGTTACCAGAGTGTATCTTGGGCATCTGTATGTTCAAAGTTGGTCTAGAGGCATGCCTTCAAGTTTTTTGTTCCCATAACCCCTAAAGAATTTTGAAATAGTACCTAATTCTCATCCACTTTTTAGTTAACACCTAAAATTCTTTATGATAAGCTTTAGGAGTTAGACAGCATATAATTTTGGCATGAGGTTTGTTTTCTGCATCTTTAAATACCATTTCCATTCAAATCTTGAGCTCCAGATTTACCTCATCCGTTTTATGAAAAATGTCTGCCATGGAATTTTATTGTCAAAGGCAGTCCTCGCCGCTAAACCATCAGCTAAATCAGACTAGCTTTTTATCGGAAGGAGTCCTTCCATAATTCAAATAAATGTGTTAAGGCATGTCTCTGTGACAGCCTGATTACTTCTCCTGTCTAATTCTCAGAGAGATAGAAAAACTATAGATGATGACAATGGTGGTGATGATGATGATATGGTTGGGGGGACAGGGGGTCATCCCAGGTCTTCTCCACATGGTTCATTAGGGGATGTAGTATGAGGGAACATCAGCTATCCAAGGGAAGCTCCTCCTGTGCCAGCTGCAGAAGGAAAACAAACCTAACCACAGGAGCACATTTGCAGACTCTGCTCGCATCCCCCAACACCCCATTGGCCAAAGCAAGTTAGCTATGCAAAACCAAAGTAATGAGGTAGGAAAGTGCACAACTCCTGTTCTCCTATAGGTACAGGGGGGGAGGCAGGGGAGTAGTATATAATTTAGAAAAACCAAACCTACCATAACAGAGTGTCACTTTATGATATAGAAATATATGCATATGCACATATAGAAACAAGGGGCATCAGAACAACTAAAATACTGAGGAGTAGTATTGTTGCATTATAAAATTGGTTCGACCTCAGCCTTTTATGTGCTCAGTTTGATTCTTTGGGTAAGCCCCTTAATTGGATCTCTGCATACACACACACACGTGAAGTTATGAATAGAATTCACATGGCCAAACAAGATGTCTGGTGCTGAATATGAAACCTCAGTCACCAAGAGCCAGTCACACAAATATAAATTATAAAGACCAAATCTATTTCATTAAGTATATTAAAATGTAGTCAGGATTCCCACTTTTCTTTGCACATGATGACGAGCAATAGTGTGGATAATCTAAAGCTGTAGATAATCCCCAAAGTCTTTATACTGACTTTAGATTTGATTGTAAGATTTTGTGGTCAGCAAGATTTAGTTTAAGCAAAATTAAAATTACAGTGCTTTGTATCCCCAGAACAGACATCCAGCCAACAAAGACAGGTGGCCCAGAATTAGAATTCAGTTGTATATAATTGAAAGTTGATTTAATGATTAAATTAAATACAATTTGTAAACCACTTTCAGAGTTTCTGGCACACAGAAAACATTCCATAGATGCTCATTAATTATTTCTCCCCATATCTTTTTGTTAATAAAACAGAAAGATCATGTTCTTAACCAATTTCTTCAAGTGGCTTGTTGGGTCATGGAAATAAGAAAACGTTCGGTTTGAACTCAGTTTTTTAAATTTAATTAAAACTGTATCTCAGTTCTTTTGACTATTTGTATGCGCTGCTCCTAGCTGATTAGAATAAACTGAAATTCCCCTGATAGCAAGAATATGACATTTAATTAAATCAGCAGTATACCAAAACATTTTGTTCAGCTGTAGATTTATATTGCTTTTTAGCAGATCCAAGTTCTTACTGTACCTTGTGTTCCAGCTGCCTGTGTCCAGTTTTGTGAATTTAACTGTGTGCTGTTCGTAATTGTGTCCACCCCTTTAAGGATTCATAATTTATGATAATTAAAAAGTAATTGTAATTAATGCTTAATTAAAATTATTTTTTATTCCTATGAGTGGCAAGAAATGTTCTTTTCAAAGATGCCTTTAAATTGTGTCTATAAGTTTCTTCTTGATAGTGGAGTAGGGAGCCATTCCCTTCTCCAGAGGTTATTCCTGACCCAGGGATCAAACCCAGTTCTCCTGCATTGCAGATGGGCTCTTTATCTTCTGAGCCACCAGGGGAGCTCATAATATAACTTATCTCCTCATACTGTGTATAATGAAATTAGAGATAGCAACTTGGCAATGCAATTTCATTTTGTGAAATGAGAGCAATAACCAGGCAAACATAACCTAAGCATGATGGTATCAAGTAAAATTAAGTAGATCTTTATTTTATTAGTTAGTAGTAATATTTTGAATGTTCTTCAAATTTTTGCTCTCCAAGTTTCATTTGGGTTGTTGATGTCTTTGTTTAATTGCTATGCATCATGTCAGAAAATCAGTTTGCATCAACTTAACCTATTAATGGCAATCTGAGAGTAATACTTTTCTTCTTGTTCTAGCTGCAAAAAAGATAATTATTAGTTACTCAAGAACAGTTATGTTTTATGAGTGTTATCCAATTGTCATCACCAATTAGAATGATACTCAGATGTGTTCTTTCTATAAAACTTTGTAAGTAATAAAAAATAAAAAATAAACATAAAACATTAATTATTTTGTAAGTTTTACAAAAATTGTATAACTTTTGCATAATAAAAAGGGAAAACAATTCTATTTATCACATGAAGATTGTCTCTCTTGTTATATAGAGTTTTAGCAATGTGAATATTATGCTCTATAAACTGGCTACACAGGAGGAAAGGAAGTATCTCTGGTTTTGATTCTACCTGGACCTTAATTATAGAAGTCATTTATGCAGACAACTATTTTATGATATTTGTATGTCATTCCAATTTTTTTCTAATGTTTTCTTTAAAAACAGATTTTTTTAACTGTTAATTACTCAATAAGAATTATTTGCAGCAAGAAATCTGTAGTGTTTTATTCCTATCAAAAAAATCTAGAAATGTTATTATGAAATAAGACTTATTTCCCTCTCCTTTTGCTGTTTTCAGCTGTTCAAGGATCGAGTGTTATTTTCCGAACGGTGGAAGTCACGTTACACAAAGAAGGAAATACCTTCGGTTTTGTAATACGAGGTAGGTGGCAGTTAGAAAATAGAACCATCAGATATTCTTGGAGAATTTGTCACTGAACTGTTGGGAGTAAACTAGAAAGTCATTTAAGAAAAACTGATGTTTTCAGCGCCTAAAGTAACCTTATGCCTTCCCTGGTGGCTCAGATGGCAAAGAATCAGCCTGCAATGCAGGAGACCCAGGTTTGATCCCTGGGTCAGGGAGATCCCTTGGAGAAGGAGATGGCAACCCACTCCAGTATTCTTGCCTGGAGAATCCCATGGATAGAGGAGCCTGGTGGGCTATAGTCCATGGAGTCACAAAGATTCCGACACAACTGAGCCATTAATACACACACACAATGTTACCTTGTAATTTTGCATCCATTTTTCTTTAAAGAAATAGAGCAATAATTGGGAATCTAAATGGAGTCCAAATGATCTAGTTAATTTATTTCAGTTCATTAATACACAGTAAGAAGTCATTGTTTGTAAACCTTGTCAAGTCATAGTTATCCTGCTGCTTTGCCAATTGTCAACATGTCTTTTGCATCCCTTATATATTTTTCTATACCATTTATCATTGAGTCAAAAATGTTTGTGAATATTACTTGATTTGATTGAATACACTAGGCTTCAGTAACTTTGTTTAAATTATTTTTTCCTAAAATGCATTTTGTTATTGTAGCTTCCTAAAAAGGAACTGCAGATAATCTAATCCCTTGAGCACCTCGGTACATCAGTCCATCTTATTCTTGAATGATATTAATAATAAATATTTCAGGTGAAATTTTGTCCACAGTTTGTCTACAGGACCATTAATTCTGAGCTACAATGCTGGCTTTTAATGTTTTATTTTATTCTTAGCAATTTCATCCTTAAAGTCTACACATGCATTAACAACTCAGAATTTCTAGTATGACAGTGAGGTTCAATAGGAAACTAGGTAAGCATCAGGAATTTTTTTTAATATTTCCTGATTTTTTTTTTTGTTTTTACGTATTGCATTTTGTACTTCACCAGCAGCAAAATTCTGTCAACATTTTTGACATTAATTAAAATTAACTAAGCATCATAAGAAATAGACAAGCCTCAAGGAATGAAGGAGATGTATTCATTATACAAACTTGCCTTAGATGACTAAGCTTTAAGCATTAGGTTCAATTCTGTGTCAGGCATGTAGCAAATCAATCAATCAAACATTCATTAAGGACATGTCACCATGTCAGCATAGGGCAGAATACTGTGGAGTCATGAGACAGAACCCTGATCCACAGGGAATTACAGTCCAGTGAATTTTAAGACATAAGTTGATATAATACCCAAATGAGTATTAGAGAAAACAGGCAACTAGGATCCCACTAAGTGATTTAGACCAGTAGTTATTATACTTTACTGACCCAGTCCTACATTAGGTGGAGCCACAAACCCCAAGATCATTTACCTTAACCATTTTCAAATTTCTGTGTAAAAAATTAGATGAATGTAATGAAAAGTCAGTGTAGAAATAATTTTAGCTTGGAGGGTGGTATATTCAAATCTAGTTTTTCAATATAATATGAAAGAGAGGTGCACTTGAATCACATGCTTATAAGTCTAATTATTGAAATGCTGTGGTAAAAAATACTGCTGGTGCAGATATTCATCACTAGTTGCTGTCTGGTTAATCAATAACAAATCAAATTGCTAATGAAAGAGCTAAACCAACAGTAATTTATCATTTAAGAACTAAAAAGAGTAGAAGCAATTTCAATCTGCAGTCACCTCAAGACAACTGATGGTATGATGGTAACAGATGTCCTTCCCACTGTTTGCAGAAATTTCAAATATCTGTGTGTTTATGCTTAGTAAGAGTTTTGAAAATATGAGCCTAGACACCTACCTAGTACATCATAGGCATTTAATAAATGAAAGAATGGATGAATGGTGCCTAGATTTGTGTGGATATCAGACTTCTTGGTATTATAGTAGATATAAAACCTTAGTAATAATGAGCCAATCTTAGTTTATGTCACTCAGTCATGTCCAGCTCTTTGTGGCCCCATGGACTGTAGCCCACCAGGCTCCTCTGTCCATGGAATTCTCCAGGCAAGAATACTGGAGTGCATAGCCATTCTCTTCTCCAGTGATCTTCCCGACTGAGGTATCAAACCTAGGTTCTCCTGCATTGCAGGCAGATTCTTTACTGTCTGAGCCTCTAGGGAAGCCCTTTAGTTTATGAGTACCAGATTTTTGTAGGTTTTAATAGCTCCCTTAGTATGTTGGTTGAACACAAAAATTTGTCAAATTTTGCATAATTTTTAATGAGCATAAATAAAGAACTTATATTTGAAACCAATTTGAGGCCCATCTGGAGGGTCTTCCATGCTCAAAAGGTAGCCAGTACCCATCCCTTAAGAATTATTGGTTAATCGCAAAGAGAGTTGCAGAATGAAAAAGTACTGTGGATAAATGCTGTCATGGCACATAAGACGTTATGGCATGGGTGGGATATGAGTTTAACTTAGATCAATGGGGAATACCGGGACATTTCAGGAAGGAAGGAGAGGAAGATATTGCAGATGAAGCATGTTCATTTAGTGCTAGAGAATTTCTTCTTACTTAGGATGGGTCTTTTAACAGTAAGCCAGGCCTTTAGCTGATGAATTGAATTACCCTTCTCATGCTGTATGTCATGATTCAAAAACCTTGACTGCATGAACAATAGAACTTTGCACCCATAAAATAGAAAATGATGTTCCAGTCTCAATCATGGAGAGTTAAATTTCTGTTAATTCCTTTGCCACCAAGCAGAAGATGGTTTAGATTAACAGGAAGGAAATCAATGAACTTATTTACAAAACAGAAATAGAGTCCCAGATGTAGAGAACAAACTTATGGCTACAAGGGGATCAGGAAGGAGGAGAAATAAGTTGGGAGATTGGGATTAATATATACATACTGCTATATGAGAAATGGTGTTCAATTGCTCAGTCATGTCTGACTCTTTGCAACCCCATGGACTGCAGCACACCAGAGTTCCCTATCCATCACCATCTCCCAGAGCTCGCTCAAACTCATGTCCATTGAATTGGTGATGCCATCCAACTATCTCATCGTCTGTTGTCCCCTTCTCCTCCTGCTCTCACTCTTTCCCTACATCAGGGTCTTTTCCAGTGAGTTGGCTCTGAGCATCAGGTGGCCAAAGTATTGTTACCTATATGTCAAAGTATTAGTTACCTATGTGTAAAATAGGTAACTAATAAGGATTTACTGTCTAGCACAGTAGGGCTTTCCTGGTGGCTTAGAAAGTAAAGAATCTGCCTGTAATGCAGGAGACCCAAGTTTGATCCCTGGGTCGGGAGAATCCCTGGGTTGGGAGGATCCCCTGGAGAGGGAAATGGCAACGCACTCCAGTATTCTTGCCATGGAATTCTTGAATTCCGTGGACAGAGGAGCCTGGTGGGCTCCAGTCCATGGGGTCACAAAGAGTCGGAAACTGAGTGACGAACCCTTTGACTTTCACTGTGTAGTGCAGGAAGCTCTACTTAGTACTCTGAAATGACCTATGTGGGAAAAATATATAAAAAAAGAGTGGGTATGTGTATATGTATAATTGATTCACTTTGATGGACAGCAAAAACTAACACAACATTGCAAATCAATTCTAGTCCAATAAAAAATTTTTTAAATAGATAACATTTTGTGATAAATTAAAAAAACAGGAAAAATCACTCTACTACTAATTTGCTTTTCACTTTGGATGAGGCAATTTCTCTAGTCATTTTCAACTGTAAAAACTGTAGCTTATGTGTACTCATTTAACATATGGAGCCCAAATTCAGATTTGGTCTACATTGTGTCCCTGGCATTGATACTTTTAATAAAGCATGCCAGGTGGTTGATGTTAATGAGCAGCCAAGATCTAAAATACCAGTGGGTTCTGAATGGTCTTTATTTTGCTTTATAGCTCCAAACATTTAGCACCTAAGTGAATCACAAATTAAACTTGGCTCATTATTTCAAATAATGATAAAATGTCACATATCAAGTAATTTAGAGTTACCTTTCTCACATTTTGACATGTATCTACTGTTAACATACTTGTATTAGAACCTTCAAATCAAAATAGTGGAACAAGTTTCTTGCTGCCTTCAGCCTTTATCTTTTTCTGAATCAAAACCCTTCAAAGGAAAGTAAACCTATCTTTTTATAATTACCTTGCAAAAAAGAAGTTACATGATGGTATTTATAGAAATATGGTTAAGCATGTGCTGTAATTTATTGTCATAATTTTCATTAAAATTTTTCTTCTGAGAAAGTCATGAGTTTCCTATTTTGAGTCAGGGGATTCAAAGAAGCCATCAAACTGAATTAAAAAAAAAATACTGAAATGGAGCTTTTACCAATCAATCAGACTGAATAAATCACTTGTAATAGAAATGAACATAAAGGAAACATTTGCTTTCATCAGGAAATGCCTTTTAATTTTTCTCTTAGGCTAGGTTCTTTAAGTCAACCTCTCTACCTGTACCAAATATGTGAAATGTCAGTCTGTTCAACCAGGCAAATATTAGAGAAGAAGTTCTTAATGGTAACATTAATATTTATCAAATACTGGCAAACTAGAGACCATCCAGATGGGTGGCCAGGATGGTGATGTATGAGGAAATCAAGTCAGACAAACAATAGTGAAAAAAGTGGAAATGGATAGAAGATGGTTTAAGATGGCAGGGTAAGATAATCCTGAACTCACTTCCTCCCACAAATACAACAAATATACAGGTACATATAAAACAGTTTACTCTGAGAAGAACTGGAGAAGTAGCTGAATTCCTGCTTCCCCCAAAAGGATAAGAGGGCCATATCCAGACAGAGACTGTCCTTCAGGACTGAAATAGCTGTTCTGCATAATAATAGAAACAAACACAGAGAGTCAAGCAAAATGAAGAAACAGAAGAAAATGTCCTAAATGAAGGAACAAGGTAAAACTTCAGAAAAAAAAAAAAAAAAACCTAGTGAAATGGAGAGAAGTAATACACCTGATAAAGAGTTCAAAGTAATGGTCATAAAGATGCTCAGCAAACTCAGGAGAAGAATGAAGGACACAGAGAGAACTTCAACAGAGAGAAAGAGCACGTAATAAGGAACCAAACAGAAGTCATAGAGTTGAAGAATACTGAACTGAAAAGTACACTGGAGAGATTGAATAGCAAACGAGATGAAACGGAAGAGCAGGTAAGTGACCTGGAGGACAAGGTAGTAGAAGTCACTCAAACAGAATAGAAAAAGAAATTTTGAAAAATGAGGATAACGTAAGGAACTTGTGGAACAACATAAAGCACACTAGCATTGACTTTATAGGGGTCCAGAAAGGGAAGAGAGAAAGAGAAAGGGACAAAAAAATTATTTGAAGAAAGAGTCACTAAAACTTTTTCTAACTGGGGCGAGGTAACAGACATCCAGATCCAGGAAGCATAGAGAATCTCAAACAAGATGAACCCAAAGACACGAATCAGCCATGGAGTCACATATTGTAAAGTAATTAGCCTCCAACTAATAAAAATAAATGAAAAAAAAAAACAAGATGAACCCAAAGACACGAATCAGCCATGGAGTTACATATTGTAAAGTAATTAGCCTCCAATTAATAAAAATAAATGAAAAAAAAAACAAGATGAACCCAAAGACATGAATCAGCCATGGAGTTACATATTGTAAAGTAATTAGCCTCCAACTAATAAAAATAAATGAAAAAAAAAAAGATGAACCCAAAGACACGAATCAGCCATGGAGTTACATATTGTAAATTAACCTCCAACTAATAAAAATAAATGAAAAAAAAAAAAGATGAACCCAAAGACACGAATCAGCCATGGAGTCACATATTGTAAAGTGATTAGCCTCCAACTAATAAAAATAAATGAAAAAAAAAAAAAGATGAACCCAAAGAGATTCACACCAAGATCACTGTAAGTAAACTGTCAAAAGTTAAAGAGAGTATCTCAACAACAGAAAGAGAAAGACCACTCATTATATACAAGGGAACTCCCATAAGACTATTAGTTGATTTTTCAGCAGAAAATTTGCAGGCCTGAAGGAAGTAACATATTCAAGGTGCTAAAAGGAAAAAACTTTCAAGAATACTCTATCTGGCAAGGTTGACTGTCAGAATTGAAGGAGAGAGAGTTTCCCAAATAAGCAAAAGCAAAAGTAGTTCATTACCACTAAACAGGCCCTACAAGAAATGTTAAAGGAACATCTGTAAGCTAATTAGAAAAAGGCCCTAAATATATGAATATAAAGGCCCTAGATAAGAAAATATATGAAAGAAAAAAATCTCACTGGTAAAGTCAAATATATGGTAAAGGTAGTGGATCAAACACTTACAAAGTGAATATGAAGGTTAAAAGACAGAAGTAGTAAAAATTAGCTATAACTACAAAGATTAGTTAAGGGATACACAAAATAAAAGGATGTAAAATGTTACATCAACATACATAAAATGTAGGGGGTGCTAAAAAGGTAGTGCTTTTAGAATGCACTAATACTTATTTTGAACACCCCATTTTCAATGAAGGCCACTTTGGCCATTTGGATTTTTTTAATATTTGGATGTTTTTTTCTTTTCCTTTAGTTTTTGCTTCAGTTCACATTGTAGATTCACCTATATTATAGCCCAGGTTGGTTGGCACAAGGTATACCCACCTACACTTTGTTCATCACCAACAGCTGCTCTCACTGGACTAGTATTTGTAATTACTTGATGCTCTTGTCATACTAGCTGGTAAGCATTTTATAGCTCACCCCTGATTAGAGCCACATGTTTATTTAGAAGTGGGGAAATGTTGATGTCAACAATATATTCTATATAAAATGAATAAGATTTTTATTATGTGCCAGAGAGAAAGCATATATGTTCCTTCACACAACAGTGAAATGTATTTCAGTTTCTCCACTGGCATTTTGTAAGTGAATTTTTTAATGGCAGCAATAAAGAGTGTTTTTTAAAGCTGTATTCCTTTTCTTTGCTAGGGGGAGCACATGACGATAGAAATAAATCGCGTCCAGTTGTGATAACTTGTGTTCGTCCAGGAGGGCCTGCTGACAGGTAAACTTCTTTCTATGTCACTATCCAAATGGACTAAATGAAGCTGGTGACTTTGGCAGAGAAGTTGATGAATTAAATATTTCATAGTAACAGATAGATATTAAATAAATATGTTGGAATGTGAAAACAAAAGCATTCAGGCTGAGGAATCAGAAGAAAGTAAGTTTGACCCCAGATTCAACACTTACCACCATATGTTTTTGGCTTGTGACTTAACAGTTCTCTGCTCAGGTCCCTCCAAATATAAAATGTAGAGGATAACGCCTACTTTTCAAGGTTTTTCATTTTGCCAAGGATTAGAGATTTATGGTGCATTGCAAGGGGCCTGTCATACTGGAGGCATTTAATAAAAAGCATCTGGCCCTTTTACAGCGGGTCTTTGAGATGTATCTTTTCCAATTGCTAATCTCCTAACCTGGAAAGATAGATGATGAGGTTCTGACTCTTACTATTGCAAACATCCTTGTCATGATTATTATGTCTTGATGATGACTATGAATGTCAGAATAGAAGTGATTTTCGGTAAAAGGGAAGGAATATTGTTGGTGTTAGTGTTTCTTCCTTGCTAATTTGAAGATTTCCTACATGAACCTTTTGGATGGGGAAGTCCCAAATGAACACACAGCTTAGACGTCTCAAGGGATACTTACCTTTGTATTAACTTCCCACAACAAAAGTCTGCTCCACAATGGGAGGGAACACAACTCCTGCCACTGGATAGGAGAGGAGAAGAGGAAAATGCACTGATTACCCCCAACTCTGCACAAAACGTTTCAGCCTAGAATGGATTTTTTTAAACCTTTCATAAGCACTAGATATAGCAATAGTAAATACTGCTTGTTGAGTGATTACCATGGGCCAAGAACTGTGCTAAGTACTTAGCAGACATTATCTTATTTTACCCTCACAACCTTTCAGTCAATGAGGTATTTTTATGCACATCTACAGATGACTAAACGGAGGAACCATATGCTTAAATGACTTGCCAGCTCGGATAGGAATTTAGATTTATTTTCCTTCAAAGCTCATACTCTTAGCTCACTTTTTTAAAAAAACTTGAAGTTTAATATAAAATGAGAATATATGAAGACACTTGGGTTCTCCCCTATGCTAAAGTTATTTGCCTTTGTGGAGGATAATACAAAGTCAAAATTCCCAGGGAAATTTTGTTGTTGTTGTTGTTGTTGTTTTCTTCTCAAGCTTTTTTTGTGAATTATTCTTCCTGAGGCAAATAAGGATATTTCCATTTGTTATTAATATTGTGAGTTCGGGTTGGCAGAAATGTCAAGAGCAACCTCCTAGTTTGTGAACATTTTACCAAATTAATGTAAAACTAAAGAAAACCCTGGTGGCTCAGACGGTCTGCCTGCAATGCAGGAGACCCAAGTTTGATCCCTGGGTCAGAAAGATTCCCTGGAGAAGGAAATGGCAGCCCACTCCAGTGTTCTTGCCTGGAGAATTCCATGGACAGAGGAATGGCTACTGTCCATGGAGTCATATAGAGTCGGACGTGGTCGAGCAACTAACACATACAAAGGAAACCAAAAATTTTAAGATGAAATTTTAGAGTTAAATTACATGGAGAGTTGTCTTGGTGAAAGATGTCTAAGACATCATTTTTATTCTTCCCAAAGCCTAAACTTGTAATCCCCGCATTTGATTTTCTCTTCTTTGTTGACTCTCCCTCACCGGAGGGCTATTATCTGGAAGCCTCTCTGGCTGCACTTTAGTGATGTCAGTATTGTGCTGAGGCATCTTCTCCCACTGCCTTGAGTGTCTGTGTCTACAGAAGGGAAAAAAGTATTTGCCTGCCTTTTCCAGGGAATATGAGACTGAATCAATTTAATGATCATCAAATGGCCTTATAAATCAGTAGGAAAATGTAGAGACTAGGGAAATTTTTCACCAGCGATCTCTCTCCAGCTTGGGTTCACTGGTGATAAATCGAATGGAATCAGCAGGCTTTTCTGCTCACCAAGCTTTGGGAAAATAGGTGAGTGCTATTTCCTGGGCTTTAATAAATCGATTTTAGACATTTGGGCACAAAAAAAAAAAACCTAGAAAAGAGATAATGTGCCTTTATTACTCTTGCACCCCAAGAATTCATCGTGGGTGACTTGGTTATTTGCTACTCTGTTGTTATTTTCTTATTACTGATTTTCATATTGCAGCAATTTTCTGTTCAGGGTTCCTTCTATTAATGTCACACTTGATGCTTAGAAGGAAATGCAAATGGAGTGGATGGTAGACTGTGTGAAAGAGCCACTTTGGCTAAGTGGCTATTAATGTTAAGCCCCACAATGCTAAAGTAATGACTGTTTCTTTATTCTCCCTTCAGAGAGGGCACAATCAAGCCTGGGGATAGGTTACTCAGTGTGGATGGAATTCGACTTCTTGGAACCACGCATGCGGAGGCCATGAGTATTCTCAAACAGTGTGGGCAAGAAGCGACGCTGCTGATCGAATATGATGTCTCGGTCATGGGTATGTCAGATACTGAGGTTGGGATCTCGAAGTCGACGTCATGTCACTGTCCATTGCTGATAAGCCACTTTGGATTAAGAATGAACTGTTATGTCCTCCTGTAGCAGACAGAATTTCATCAATGCTATATTAGTCCTCTGTTTGAGTTCAGGAAAAGGTGAGGGTCACTTCTCAGCAATTTAGAGTTCTTGTGTCGATAGAATCTATAAAAGCATCTCATTCTGTCAGCATGTTTCACCTAGCAATCAGCTCTTATACGTAGATTACCCTTTGGCAGGAAAGTATTTCCTCCCTCCAGTTCACAAAAACAGTATTATTAACTTAGGGGTTGGTACTTTTGTTTTACTACATGGAGACTAGAGACAGTAAGAGGTTCCTTTCCTTCTTGTAACTTCGCTACGTGAAGCCAGCTAATCAGAATTAATGGAAATTACCATTTTATCATCAGACTTAGGGACAAAGAAAAGAAAGGGGACATATAGTATCCTTGACTAAAATAAGAAGTTGACTACAGTATCCTTTCCTGAAATAATGATTCCAGTAAAAAGTAATTCTATTTCTACCCTCTCAACTATAGTAAAACTGGAAAGTTATTCTCACATGCCTTTTCAATGGGAAGAGAGTGTCAAAGTTTTATGTAATGTTGACTAAGTCAGAGAAATTATGAAATAATGAATTGGAACTTGAAATTGAAACTTAAATCATGCTGTAAATACTTCTTAAAATTTTCAGACTTGATTGTGTGCCTGACTTAACTAGCTAGTTCTATGTTGGTAAAATGTAGCTGAGCAAAAGAGACTTACTCTGTAACTGCAAACTCCTTTATTTCCCACTCTGTGTGATTCATGTATAAGAATGTTGCTTGAAAGTGTTCTCAATCTGTCTACTGACCTGAAATGTATGAGGTATGAGGCTTCCTAAAAGATGTAAAGTTTGAGAGTTAAAGAGTTAAAGTCTTAGAGTAAGTGGTATGATATGCTCTTCAGATGGAAAGGTCAGGAATGAATGAGCTCTCCTCCCTCTGTTCTTCCTTTCCCTTGCTTTCTCTTTCTTCCTCTTTTCTTCCTTTTTTTATTTTTATATGTCTTTTGAGTTAGACAGTTTGGGTTCTGTTTTCAATTCTACTGATTTCTAGCTATTAGTTTAAGCATGTTAACGTATTTCCCTGTGCCTTAAAACACCTCCTTTGTCAAATGGAGACTATCAATGCCTATTTTGAAAGGCAGTGAAGAAGATAAAATAAAATTACACAAATAAGATATATTTTAAGTGATGATCCAATGTATTATGAATGTTAAAAATTGAAGCAAATGTTTGACATGTTTAACTCATTCAGTCTACAAATTTTTCTGTTTTTGATATTTAAGCTAAGTGACAAATGCACAGACTATAGACATAAACAGAACAGACCTGGTTTCTGCCTTTATGAAGCTTGAAATTGACGAGGAGGAGAGATAGTAAACAGGTACTCACCAAACACACACTCAGAAAGTGTGATCCCAGCAGACACTAGCCCAACGTTGTAAAGCAATTATCCTCCTGTTTTTAACATTTATTTTCAACTGGAGGATCATGGCTTTCCAATGTCGTGTTGTTCGCTGCTGTACAGTGTGATTCAGCTGTCACTGTGCATCTGTCCCCTCCCTCTCGAGCCTTCCTCCCACTCCAGCCCCATCCCACGCCTTCTGGGTCATCACAGGGCACCACGCTGGGCTCCCTGCGTTACACGTCGGTTTCCCACCAGCTATCTGTTTTACATTTGGTTGTGTATACGTTTCCGTGCCATTCTCTCAACCTGGCCCACCTTCTCCATCCCCTGTTGTGTCCACAAGTCCTTTCTCTACATCTGAGTCTCTATTCCTGCCATGCAAATAGGCTGATCAGTACCATTTTCTAGATTCCGTATAAATATAACATGCAACATTTGCTTTTTTCTTCCTGACTTCCTTCATTCTGTGTGACAGATTTTTAGATTCATACCCCTCACTTCCCAGGTGGCACCAGTGGTAAAGAACCTTCCTGCGGAAGCAGGAGACAGAAGAAATTCGAGTTCGATCTCTGGGTCAGGAAGACCCCCTGGAGGTGGGCATGGCAACCCACTCCAGTATTCTTGCCTGGAGAATCCTGTGGACAGACGAGCCTGGCAGGCTGCAGTTCACAGGGTCGCAAAGAGTCGAACACAACTGAGGTGACTTAGCATGTAAACAAACACAGCAAAAGTTGAATGTTCCCATTAGATACAGCGTTGATATGGATACAGATATTCATATATGTAAAACAATACTTAATAAGGACCTGTGTCATAATCTTTTGAGTGGGAAGTTTTAATATCTAAAATATATCATTTCTCTCAAATGCATCCATAAATTCTGTTCAAAATCTCAGCAGGATCTTCGGAGGACTTTTAAGAGCTATTTCTAAAATGTATATGGATTAGGAAAAGTGGAGGGGGGAAAACAGCCAAAATGTTTTTGAAACAATCTAAAACTAGAGAAACTTGTTGCATCCAACATCAAGACTCATTCTAAAATTATGCCATTAAGTTTGTGTAATATTTACATGGGGTAATAAATAAACCAATGGAAGAGAGTCCAATGCCACAGACCACTGCCGAAGTATAGCCTTACTTTAGTGGGGAACAACTGAACTAGTCAGTCAGTGATACTGGGTCAATTAGTTAGCCGCATGGGAAAAAATTCAGTTAATTTCTTACTTTATACCATACCCAAAAATAAAGCCTTTATTTACATAACTGTTTCCCAACAGAATGCTATTATAAATAACTGGAATTAATATTCTTTTACCCAAATCTTTGTATTTTTGACTTCATTAAGTCAAAGGGCATATTTCTTTTTAAAATATTTGATACATAATTCTGATTGTCTTCTATAAAGATTATACTATTTTATATTACTGCCAGCAGTGTTTTAAATGTACCTATCTCAGAGCACCAGATACAGCTTTGAAGAGTATGTTTTTAATTTTTTTAATTTAAGTAAAAAAATGCATTTATATTTTAATTTACTTTTTAAAAATTTTCTAGTGCAAGTAAATGTTTTTTCACATGAACACTAGCCATTTTTGTTTTGCATTGTCTGCTTATGTTCTATATTCCGTTTTTCTATTGGAGGCATTCTTAGTTTTCTTTTTCCTATTGGAGTTTTTTTTTTTTTTTTAATTGGTTTGTGTAGCTATGTATATATTAAGGATACTGGTTCTTATCAGTGTTTTGTAAAAGTTCTTTTTAGTTGTTTATATGCCCTTTCTGACATATGCAAGTTTCTTTTTTTAAAACTTAGATATAGTATTAAGTTACCTAATATCCCTGAATTATTTAATAAAGATTCCATCACATGTCCACTAATTTTTAAAATCATACCCTAAATTGTTAAATATAACTGGACTCCACATCTGGGCTAGTCAGTCTGATTATATCTCGTTTCACAACAGATTACAGCATAGGACTTTTGAATTGAAAGTCTTAGTATAAGAGTTCTTATTGTCATAAAAAGACATTTTTAGGATAAAATTATTTATTTGCATAGTACATTTATTATATTATTCTTCTAAGTTTTGCTAACTTTATATAGCAGGTGAGCAAACTTTGATTTTCATTTTTTTTAGTTTCTTTTTAAATTCCTTTTTCTTTTTTCTGTTCACCTGTCTTGCACCTCCTGACTTTCTCTCCCTCATCCTTTTCTCATTCTATTCCTCTTTCTCTAGCTCCCTTTCTTCCTCCTTCCCTTTCTAGCCTCCCCTTTCCTTTCTTACATTCTGCTATTTTTCACCTGTCAATACTTTTCACTATTCTAATTGTCTTACTTAAATTTTTTCTGATATTTCTCTACTGTTATTCTCCTTTTTCTCTGTTTTTTCTTTCTTTCTTTTTCTATTTCTGTTTCACTAATTATGTTAAGATGGCATTAGGCATAGATATGGTCAGATAATTAAGAGTGACAATTTGTGGAAAGAAGTAAGAATGACCCCTTAGAAAATCAGAATATGAGATACTTTCAGTTAGAATGGCTGTTCGTCAAATACTGACCAGTCTTTCCTTTTATAAAAACAAAAAATTTCCCCTATTTTTACTACACATTTTTTTGTTGCTGTTGTTTGTTTTTGCAGCTTTTGTCATTCTTTCTCCTTAAAAGGAATAAAATGAGTGACTTATACAATGTAGCCTGCTACTTACTCTGTGAGGTCCAATTGGTATTTCTTTCAAACTATCTGGAAGTCAAAGTACCATTAAAAATAGTTTACCACTATCATTTTTTGTTTTTGAGAAAAAATTCTAGTATTTTTAGGATACTTGAAAAAAAATTGGGAGGCCTGGTGTGCTGCAGTCCATGGGGTCTCAAAGAGTCAGACGTGACTGAGCAACTAAACTGCTGTTTGGTAGGGGAGGATGGAATGTATGTTGAACAGAATGAGTCAAAAAATGGCACTTCCCCAAAGCAGATAATGTTGAGTTGATGAAAGTAATAGATGCCCGTTCAAAGACACAGTCAAATGTTAAATATTTTATTCCCACTAACAGCATATGAAAATTTTCATTAATTCACATCCTCACTAACACATGGTATTCTCAGTCTGTTTTATGGTGACTATTCTGATAGGTATGTAGTGGGATCCCATGGTAAACTGAATGTATGTTTCCTGGATGAATCATGATATGAAGCACCCTTTCATTTGCCACTCAGAACATTCTTGATGCTTTGATTTTACTTTTAACACTTTCATTTGTTTATATACTATTAAAATGATGTCACATTATAACTCAGGAAGCAGGTGTATGTCTATAATCATAAATATAAATATTGATTGTATTTATTTATATGCTACTAAAAATACACAAATTATTTTGCAGGAAACACTTGCATGTACATGTGTGCAGAGATATTGATATATCATCCCTCTGACTCATTGATATTAATCAGATATATTTTTTAGTAAATCTCAGCTCAAAAATTTTAGCATATTCAGTAGTATATTTGAGAAAG